CCAAGCATGGCCGGGCCGGGTCCATGGGGTTGGCGATACCAATCAGCCAGGCAGCAGCTGCCTCCAGGAGGAGGCTGTTGATGGCAGATAGGCCAGCGGGAGTATTATTCACAAGCCCGTCAAGCCCAGGAACGTCTGGTTGGCATAGAAACAGGAGATAAGGGGCACAATTAATGGCATCACATTCCCTCCTCCTTTCTTCCCCAACTGACCCATTTAAATCCCCAGTGGTGCTGGATGCCACGCTGGGTTCCTGGTGACCTCCGGGGAGGGACTGGCTATGCTGACGGGAGTCCCGGGTCCAGGGAGGGCCTGGCGAAGCCTCCCAGGGGACCCTCAGACACAGTAATGTCTTCGGAAGGAGGCCATCTGGGGGTCAGCCAGGGAGGGGCTGGGGAAAGACCTCAGAGGGCCTCTAGTCTCAAAGGCCCATTTCACAGATGTGCAGACTGAGGCTGAGCGAGGCCCAGGGTGGCCTAGAAGGCAGGCAGAAGCCTTCTAGGCTTCTAAGAGCCCTTCAGCAGGCAGAAGCTAGAGGATGGTGAGAAGGCAGCTTGGTGTCCACGGACAGACCCTTAAACAGCGCAGGCCTGGCCACCTGGGTCCCGTTGCTGCTTCCATCACTTGCTTGGGCAAGAAACGTCTCTAGGCTTCCATTTCCCCAGATGTCAGAGTGATCAGAAGAGGACTGCCTTAAGTTAATACACAGCCTGGTACAGAGATGGCTTGTAAGCATTAGATGATATGAGTATTATTCTTCCCATCACATGAACAGAAGGGCCGCCTCCCTTCCCTGAGGCCCAGGAAAGTGGGCAAATCACAACCGGCCCGGAGCTGGGTGACAGTGTGGGCTCCGGGGTCCGCCTGACCCTGCTGGAGTCCAGGCTTAGGGGTGGAGGAGCCTGGAGCGGCCCTCCTGATCTCTAATTCTCTCTGCTAAACATGGCTTAATGGGAGGTGCAGTGGCTCATGTCTGGAACCCCAGTGTTTAGGAGGCTGAGCTGGGAGGAGAGCGTGAGCCCAGGAGTTTGAGACCAGCCTAGGCAACATAGTGAGACCCCATGTCTGTTTTTTAAAAATTTAATTTCAAAAAAAAGAGAGAAAGAGAAAAACGTGTCTGGGACCAGGACTGAGGTGACAGCGATGGCTTTGCAGCCTAAGAGCCAGGCAGGTGCAGGCATTGCTCCCCTTGGGGTGGTAACCAGGGACGGGGCGACTGGGCCAAGGACCAGGTAAGCTGAGGGCAGGACCTGAGCCCCTGGATGGCAGACAGTCATACTTGTTTTTCGGACAGGGGGAAACGGAGCCCTGGAAGGCACAGTAACTTGTCCCCAGTGGTTGGGCACCAGGGTCAGCCAGGCCCCCAAAGTCTCCTCTTTCCTGGATGCTCTGCCAACCCCCGGGGTCGTGGGTGTGGTAAGGTGGCCCCTGAGAGCCTGGACACCCAAGTGCCTACCTTGCACAGGAGCCCAGTGTGGATGGCTGTGTGCAGACATCCCGCTCATGGTCATAACACAGCACAGAAACCACCCATCTCCCTCTGGGCCCCTGAGCCCTCTCTGGAACTGGAACTGGCCCTTGCCAGATGGCACCGCCAGCCCCACGGGTGGGTGCTGGGCTGCTGGGGAGAGCAGGTGGGTGACTTTGAAGTTTGGAGTGAATTAGTCATCCTGTGGCTACCAATGATTTGTTTAATCAAACTCTGAGAGTGTGTGAAAAACGCCTTCCTCTGAGCTGCAGCAGCTGCCTGGGCTGGGACCGGAGGGGCTCAGGGACCCCCCCCACCCCCGTCCCCGGGCTCCTTCCAGAAGGCCCTACCCATCTGGCATGGGGGATCCATGGAACCCTCCACTGCAAAGGGCCTCTGAGGACCCTCAATATCTCCAGCCTGACCTGGGGGACACCCAGTCCCAGGTCCTAGTCTTGACTCCATTATTCAGAGTGGGAGACTGAGGACCTGCCTGGCCTCCACCACTCCCCTGACCTCACCCGTGCCTGCTGGCACGAACTGTCCCCCTGCAGGTGCCTCTTGGGCCCTACTCCCCTGACAGCAGTGGAGAAACTGAGGCCAGCCCTGCAGTGCCAAAGATCACTTCCTTCCAAAAAGTGTCCCTGACCACCAGATGTGTCCCCTGCTCCCCTTCGCTGCCCCTCTGATGCCCTCAGCCCCTCTCATTTGCTACCGGGACCCAGAGCCTGCATGCAGCAGTGCTCAGCAAACAGTGCTCAGCCCAGGCAGGTCTGCAAGTGCCTCCTCAACAGTGCGCACTGGCCTCCGCCAGAGCAGCCCAGGCCATGGAAACCACCTTGATTTTTTTTTTTTTTTTTCCAAGAAAACTCCAAGCAGCATACACTTGTTCTTGCCAGCAACTGCCAACAACACCAGCATGATTCAAGGGGAAAACACCATCTCCTCTCTCTGGAGGTGACAAACCCACCTCCAGCGGTCTCGCACCATCTAAGAGGAATCGGGGCGGGGTGTCCGCCCCGCTCCCCTTCCCGGCCTCGGCAAAGTCAGTTTTCTTTCATTTTGATGGACTGTACCACCGGCCACAGGGGAGGATCAACTTCTTGGTAATTAAGTGTGTTTGGGGAGAAAACTCCCCCAGACAGACCAGCGCAGGGACGCCGGCCCCCCGGCCCCCACCCGGGCAGTTCCAAGCTCCCACTCGCCCCAGCCTCGACGCCCCCGCGCTGTTCTCCAACCCGGCCGGGCCTGGTGGCCAAAGATAAGGCCTCTTATCGCTCTTGGCGATCGCCATCGAGCAGACCGGCCCAGCGCTTATCGGAGCTCACATCGACTCGGGAGGGAGGAAAGCTCGGCGGGCTGGGGGCGCTGGGGGTCCCGAGCTGCCCCGGCCCCGCGCTCCCCGTGGCGGCCCGGCCTATCGCCTCCGCCATCTGGCCGGCCAAGGCCGCGCTCCCGCCTCACCCTGCCCCCGCTCCCACGTTTGAAGTTAATAAATGGAAGCGCCTATCGCAGCCACCATCGGTTGTGCGCCTTATCAGCGCGGCACATCTATCTCCGCACGGAACAAAAGGCGCACAGAGGCGCGGGCAGCTGCGCCAGGGCTTTGATGGGGGCGCGGGTGGGGGTGGGCGGCCCGAGGCGCTCGGCCCCCGCCCCTCCGCACTGGCGGCCGGGCCGCAGGTGAGCCCAGGGCAGGGGGCACGCACGGGCGCTGTTGGAGGGCGGGCGGGGGCCGCCGCTTGGTGACAGTCAGCCTCCGCATCTTAACATGCTGATATCTGCCAGGGGGAGGAGGCGCCCCGGGCCGCGAGCGGCCTCGCCTCCCTCGTTCGGGCCCTTCCCCTGCCCGGTCCCGGGCCGCAACCAGGATGCGCCGCGAGGGCGCACGGTGCATCCGCCGCGGTCCCAGTTCCCAAAGTGCGCGCGCTTTGCCCGCCCTGATGGGCTGAGTTCCGTGCTCTCGCTGGCGCTGGCGGCCTTATCAGCTCTGGTGATCGGTTCCCAACCTGCGATCTCCCTGCCCGAGCTATCTGCATTTCTCATCACAGAGAAACAAACACACACACACACACACACACACACACACACACACACACACAGGCGCGCGCGCGCGCGCCCCAGAACCCAACAGAGGCGCTCAGGGGAGGAAGGAAAAAGAAACCAGAGAACGAGCGCAGATCGGGACCTGTGGGTGGTTTTTAATACTTGAGTTGACATGATAGAAGGCGACTTTCGGAAAACAGGTCCCGTTTGCTCGGGGGAGTTGGGTTACGGGAACCCGGTTCATGCCTGTGATCCCCGTTCCGCAGAAGGGGTCCTGGTGGCAGCGGGCATGTGGACAAAGGAGGCAGTGTCCGGGCGCCTGCGGCTGGGCAGTGGGCGGGTTTGCGTCGTGGCCTCCCGGCAGGGCTCAAACAACCTGCAGGTCAGGCTCCGAGGAGGCGCCACGGGGAGGAAGACCTGCGCCTGGGCCCTATCGTGGAGGCGCAAAGTTATTATTGGCGTAGGGTGGGGAGGGGCGCTTCCTGTGCGCTCGCTCTCTCCTGGTACAACCCAGAGGCCCAGGCCAGACAGTGGTCCCGAGAGCGCAGTTCTCATCGCTGGGGCACCGGCAGTGTGGCGGCGGGGCAGCAGCCTCTGACCCCGCAGGGAGTCGGACCAGCGAGAAACTTGGTCGCCTGCAGGGGCGACCCCGGCCCGGGGCTGCGTCCTGGGAGGCGCTTCTCTGAATCGGAGCAGCCCCCTGGGATGCCGAGGGCACCATTTGTGGCCGATGTCGCCTTGGCTGGGACACTCGCAGGGTCCAGGAGGTGTCGCCAGGCAAGCAGGGCTTGGCTTGAGGACCCTAGCGCTAGGGCACGGGGGCGGGGGAGGGGGAAGCTGGGGGGCTGGAGCCAAGTGCCTAGGCTGCCGCAGCTGCGCGCTGCCCCCTCCCCTGTCCTGCGGCTGTGCAGCGGCACCGGTGGGGGTGGGCGCGGGCGGGTCCCTGCCACTTGACCAGGTATCTCCACGCGGCCCCGGGTGTCCCCTCTCCCTCCCAGGTCTCTCTGCTTCTACATAGAAAGCCTGGGAGAGTCAACTGCGCCAGATAAGATCACAATTTCAGCCCGTCCCGACAGAACGATCTTATCAGGACGGGACTTGCAGAATGGAATATTTTAAACTTTATCTGAGCCCAGATCGGGGCCGCCCTATCACCGCACCATCTCACAGATGCGGGGGAGGGGCAGGCCGCGAGGGGCCGGGCACCGCCCGGGCCGCGCCCCCAACCACCCTCCTCCCAGCCTCTGGGCGGCCCCCTCCTGGGCTGGACCCCCGGTGCCCAAGCCGAGACGCGGGGGCCCAGGCCGCCGGCAGAGATTAGATTACGGCGCGCTTGGCACAGCGCGGGGGGCGCGGCGCGGGGTGAAGGTCGCCGGCGCCCGGGGCAGAGCGGCGACGGGGGGGCGCGGGGGAGGCGAGGTGGTGGCGGCGGGGCCCCGGCGGGGGTCGGGCGCGCGGCGGGGACGGCGGGCAAAGTTTGACTCACGCTTGATCTGCCGGGGGTTGCTCTGTTTCCTCCTGGACATGTCTCCGGCGCCGCGCGCCCTCCCGGCGGCCGCCTCTAGCCCCGGGCGGGCGGCGGCGGGCGGCGGGGGCGCGGCGGGACCGCGGGGCCGCTCATGCCCCCGGCCCCCGGTCTCCGCGGCCGCCCCGGCCCGCGCCCCCTGCCCGCGCGCCCGGCCCGGGAACCGCTGGCGCCGCCGCGGAGGCCCGAGGCTACGGCCCTGCGCTGCGGGCGCGCGGACTGCCCCGGGGGCGGGTGCCGGCTCCTCTGCTCCCGCGCACTCGCTGCCGCCGCCGCTCGGCTTTTCTCAATGGAATCCGCGGGCGGCGAGCGGCGGAGCAGGCGGCCACCGCTCGGGCGCTCCGGGCGGGCGGGAGGCGCGGGCGGGGCGGGGCGGGGCCTGAGCGACGTCGGCCGCCGCACCTCCCGCCCCGCCCCGGCCCCACTCCGGCTCCGCCCCCAGCGTCGCGGCCACGCCCCCGCCCGCCTGGCTCTTCCCGGCGCTGGCTCCGCCTCCAGCGCCGCGGCCCCGCTCCTGTCCGGCTGGGCCTTCGAAGCACTGGCCCCGCCCCACCCGGAGGACCCGCCCCTTCCTGGTTCCTCCCCGTCCCCGCCCCGGGAGACCTCCAGCCTCCCCCACTCCTGCTTTGCCCGGAGGCCATGTCCCCAGGCCTGGCTGGGGACTCTGAGGCCTATTCGGTTCTGCTGCCCCGCGGCGCTTCATCCACCCGGGCTCCAGGCCCCTCTGGCCCACCTCTTGGTGCCAGCTCCGTCCCCAAACCTGACCCGACCTGGTTGGGTCCTGGGACGCCGAGGCTCCGCCCCCGCCCTGTAACTCCGCCCCCAGCCCTTGGTCCCGCCCCGGACCCCTGGGCTCCGCAGCCCGCTCCACGTGCGCGGTGGGCGCAGTGACGACCGGGTCGGGATGCCCGAGGTCTTAACGCCCACGTTTGTCTTGGGACAGACTTGGAGTGTGGAGCGGATTCGGGCCAAGGAGGGGGCTTCCGTCCCAGACTGCGGTGAAAGCACTCGGGGTTTGCCACCCCAGATGGTGTCGGTCCCCGCCTTCAGGACCGCAAGGAGAGCGGGACCTCGGGTCTTCCCCTGTGAGCTCAGACCAGGCTGGAAATCGGGGAGGGGGCGCGGGAGCTGGCAGCCCTGGGCTTTGCACCTTGGGGCCTCTTTCCTCACCGAACCTCTACAGGGTGACCCACAGGAGACCCACGAAGGAGGAGTGCCATAGCGCCCGGGCCACAGCACCCTCTTGGAGCAGAGGTCAGCGAGGTTTCTGGGCGGGATGCTGTCAACTCAGGCCTGGGAGTGGAGTACTGAGGCTGTTGCTCTTTGGGGTGTGTTCATGGCATCCGAGAGCCCCACCTCCACTTTCCAGTGAGGAAACGCCTCAGGGACTTGCTCAAGGTCACTTGTTGAGGGGTTGTGCCCACTCCCTAATGAGTTGTATCATTTCCTTTTAATGTTCTCAGCCTGCACTTGCTACCTGCTCCCCATCCCCCATATGCATAAGAAAAGGGGAAAGAGTGGGTCCAGGGGCTTTCAGGAAGGATCCCTCTCACCTGACGACGATGTCATAGCATAGTGAGACTGGTGAAACACCCACTGGCCTGCTGGGAGCTCCTGACCCCATCTCATGCCAACTTCTGTGACCTATGCCCCGGCTCCAACAAAGAGAAGTGGGGGCTTATCCCCAGAGCCCGGGCTCTCTCCCTAGCATAGGAGAGTGGCAGGTGGGCAAGGAGAGGCAAGCGTACATCACATGGATACATGCCCTCCCGCCGTGCCTGCTGCCATGGACAGACAGGAACACTGAGGCCAGAAGGCCGAGAGAGCTGTCCAGGGTCACACCTCCAGCTTTCCCTGCTCTCTGCCTGGTGTCCAGTGGGTGCGGCCTTCCCACAGCTGCCCTCTGGAGGGGGTGGGGCCCATGTCTGATTGGTTCATTCAATCCAGGAACCCCCCCAACCCCAGTGTTTGTCAACTGGATAGAGGCCCCACCTGTCTAGCTTTCCTACTGGGCCTTGCCTTCTTCCCTAAAGGAGGCCACTTTAGGGGATGGGGTCCTGGGAGTTAGAGGAGTTACTGGCCATGGGCTGGCACTGGGCTGGGTCTGAGGCTCCACACACAGCAAGTGGCACGCAGGCTGGCACTGCTGGAACGGCTGGAGATCTGTGTTGAGGTGGTTTCTGAGGGTCAGAGGAGACAGCCATGATCATCTCTGGCTGATGTCTCTCTAGGCTGCAGGAGGAGACAAGGGGGAACATTTTGGCTGCTTTTTTGTCCAATCTGATTTATTTCTGTGATCCCATATGTAGAAGAAAACATGGAGTACTTGAGAGAAGGAGGGACATGCCCGGGGCAGCCAGCGACCGAGGCGGGCAGTGGGTGCAGACCACAGCCTGCTGCCCCGGCTCTGTCCCTTGCGGGGCCCCGTGCAAAATTAAAATATGAAAATGTGGAGCCCCCTCGATCAAAACCCAAAAACGCCAGGACATCAAGGGCAGAATGTTGAGCCCAGCGTGGTGCCCTTCCCAGCTCAGGCCCTGTGCCCCTGCACGGTTCACAGGTCCCCTAACCCTTCCGCTGGCCCCAGCCAGGGCTGTTTTTGGAGCAGATTCCTTCTACACTGTGCCCCACTACGTGCCCCAGGGGGTGGCATTATTACAGATGAGAAAACCACAGCCGGGAGAGGTCTGCTGATGCCGAGTGGTAAAGCCACAGGACCTTGCACTCACCGCTAAACCCTCAGGAAGGTCACGATGATAACCACACACGAGGCAGAGAAACAAAGCATGCTGTCTAGAGGATGGCCTGGGGGGGACTGTGGAGCAGGAGTGGCTGCCTCTGCCTGGGGAAATTAGGAGGTGACAACCAAGTGGGGCTTTGCAGGACTCCCTGATCAGGTGGGAGAGGAGCAGCGTGTCTGGGCGGAACCCACCTGGTACCTGCATTACCCACCTGCTGTCCATTGTGACCCCACTTCCACCTGCCCCTGCATGTTCTCGAGATGTGCGGAGATTCCCAACCAAAGTCCCTGGCGGGGAAACTGGAATTGCACTCAGCCCGAATCAGGTTCTCCCCTGCTGGCTTCCAGGGAGAGCAGGCCCTGGGGCACATAGGAAGTGCTGTCTGGCAGTGGCTCAGGGACTGCCTTCTTCTGAAAACGACCTCAGCCAGAAGAAGACATTTCTGGGGTTCGAGCAGTGGGGGTATGCAGGGGGTGCTGGGTCAGTGCACACCGTAGTCCAGTCTTCTACTGGCGGTGGGGGGGTGTGAGGGGCAAATGCCTCCCTGTGCCTCAGCCCTGCCCCGATGCTGGGTCTGTTTTAGGGGAGGTCCTCCTGTGAGTTGGTGAGCCCTGTACATTTGGGGTTAAGGGAGGAGGCGCTCTGAGATGGCGTAAGGCCTCCCCAGCTCCCCAGCCTCTGCTCCCCTTTCCGGGGCCTGTCAGCGTCAGCATCACACTACTGACTTCACGCCTCCAAGCTGAAGTGTGCCAGGGCCATGCCACATTTGCACAACTAGCTGGGGTGGGGGCTCAGGCTATCCCCAAATTATAGATGCAGAAACCAAGGCTCAGAGTGGGCCAGTTGCTTTTCAGGGGTCCTGTGGCTTGGAAGTGCTGGAGCCGGGAGGGAGCTGGGATGTCTCACTCCAGAGCCTGTGTTCTTCACCCTGATGCTGGGAAATCTGGGTTGGAGTCCTGGCTCTGCCATTTTGGGGACAGCCCCAGGCCATTCCTGTGTTTTCTCTTCTGTGAGAAGGGTGAGATGAGGGCCCTGTGGTCCTGGGCTTGAGTCCCAGTGTGATCTGTGGGCTGGTGACATTGGCCTGGCTCCTGTGGCAGGCCTGTGTCGAGCTATTCTGGCCCAGGAGGGCTGCCGGGGGGCTGGTTGGCAGCTGTGGGTGGGCGAGGGGCTAATCATAGCTCCACCCATGTGCCAGGCCCTCATTGGGTGCTGGGCTGTGACTCAAGGAGCCATAGAATGTTCTAGAAACTTAAGCTGGACCTTGAAGGATGAGGGCAAAAAGGATGCTCAAAAAAGAATGATGCCCCCATCATCATTCTTGGTGGAGAGGGTGCAGGGGCAGAAGCCGGAGGCCAGGGAGGGTGGACCTGGGGGTGGACCGCTGCGGCTGAGGGCTGCACCTGGAGGTCAGGCTGTGTGGGGCCCCGGAACAGCTGCACCCAACTCCTTGGACTGCTCCCAGCATCCCCCATGGCCGGCCTGTCACCAGCATCTGTGACTTCACTTCCTTATGGCTCTGAGAGGCACCCCCACCCTGCTTCAGACCTGTCTCGCCCTCTCTTCCCTTACCCTGCCGGGTCTCCGACCGAAGGCTGAAGCCAGTGAGGCCTCCTGAGGGCCACATGTGATAACCTCAGGCTCTGCCCTTCCTTCATCCTGAAGCCTTCCCTGTACGTGGCTCCAGGGATCCCCCTAGGCACAGGCTGTTGGGCTGCCAGATGCACCCTTCCGTCCGTTGCCTGGCCTGGCTGCCCACCCCTCCTGAGGGAGTCCCCTGACTGTCCCAGGCAAGCTTAGGCCTCTCCGCCCCCCCAGCGTGCAGGGCAGGCCCAGTGCTGCCCTCCTCCAGCAGCAGCCGCAGGAGACGCTGCCCAAGGCCCTTCCCAGCCAAGCTGCGTATCTGCATATCTCAGCACACTCTGCTGACAGCAGCTCTCTGCAGAAGGAGCTGTCAGAATTCCCATTTGCCAGGTTCAGAGAGGGGAAGTCACTTGCCAGAAGCCACACAGCAGGGAAGCGCAGGGCAGTAGTCTCTCGGAGACATGCATGCTCTAAAATGCACTGGGGTGGCCGATGTAGGGGAAGGGGGCGCCCAGGACCTGGCCTCACTCCCCCAACTGCCAATCATCGCCAGGCCTTGGTGCTGCCGGGCAGCCATGCCAGGGGCCCATTCTATGTTTGTCAAGGCTGGCTGTGTGAAGGGTTTAATTAACTTCCTGTTTCAACGGGGGGATAATGAGTTTTAAATACCACGTGATTCCATAAGGAGGTCAGACAGCAGCAAAGATGTCAAAATAAATTGAGTCAGGAATTGGGAGGCTGCCCTCGGTGGGGGACAGTCCCTCCCGCTCTGGGATGCTG